CATGGAGCACACACATTAGCATCATACTTGCATAAAAACCCAGGAAAAGGGATGCTATCTGATGCAATACTTTTGTGTAAGAAGGAAGCAGTTCTTTACTTATATCCCACCATGAGATACTCACAAGGATTAGAATGTGACAGGAAAAATAATAATGCCATATGCTCTCCCCAACTCACCTGACATTGCCAATCAGAAACAATATTTCTCCTGAGAAAGACGAGGATGGAGATATTATACAGCTACTTTTGCAATAAATATAACATTAAGTTAGTTAATTCCTTTCAATAAATATAAAAATGAAGATCTGAGACCATCTACAATGTTGATACTTACTAAGTCTTCCATCAGTGGCAAATAAAGAACAATAGTCCAAGGAAATAAATCATACATTTCACATAAATCTGATAGGGATAAATGCCTGTAAGACAGATATCATCTTTACAATGGGACACAAACTGCCATCTTTGAGAGGCTTGGGTGACGAGCTGGAACACTTATTCGGGTTGTGAGCTGCCATTCCATGGCTGAGAATGCTGAGCAGCTTGCTAACATCTCCTTTATGTAATGGGCTGTTGTGTCCCTTAGCTTCCTCTGAACGCATATCCTAGTATACATGACTCGGGAGGAGGCTATGCAAACTACTGTTCCAGTCTTTGGATAAAAAGCACATTTGAAGTAAGTATTAGGGTAACAATAATAGCTACTGCTTAGGAAAACCCTTGCATAATACCTCAGCCCTGTGAATTTCACTTTGCTTCCGTTTTGATTATTTACACACAATATTTTTATTTTACTTTTAATAATGCATAACTTGTTTATGAAGACCTCACTCGATCTCACTAAGCTCAAATGCAGCTTTGCACAAATGCATGGAATCGGTTTGTTCAGGATTTGTACCAGCACCAAACAAGAGCTGCGGTGCAGAGACAGCAGAGAATACAGTTAGAAGCTTGGTATCTCTACGGCTTAAATCAGGTACTGCTGCCAGCTACCTCCTCCCATTGCCTTGGCTTTCACTATGTCCCACGCTGTGGGTTTCATATTCACAGAAAGAACCAGACTGCAAAGTGAGCAGGCTGAAAAAGAACACAGGAAAAGAAAAATATTTTTCAGTTGAATCAGTTCCTGACCTGGGTCAGTACACAACCGCACGAACTGCAGTGCCATCGGAGAGGGAGAGAATGGCAACTCCCTAAACTGCCACCAAAACGTTAAGAGTGAAGGCTTATGCTGAAGGACTTGCTTTGCAGACTCCTTTCAAACCTGTGATTTTTGTTTTTTGTTTTGTGGTTTTTGCTTGTTTTTTTTCTTTGTGGTGTTTTTCTTGTGGTCTTTTTGGGGGGGAGTTTTGGTTTTTTGTGGGGGTTGGTGTTTGGTGGGTGGTTTTTTTTTTTCTTCCCCCATTCTGACACATCTCCCAGTACATTATTGAGCTAATTCCTTGTCTTCCGTGACCTGGACTGTGTCAGTCCCCCATTACGCTGGATAAGAGCTGACTAAATACCAATTCTACTTCAATTTGCTGGGCAGTATTCTGTGACCTATGCTACAGGAGAGGTGAGACTAGATAGATTAAAGATTGGGTTTCTTCAATGTTTTCTAAGTTCTGGTTCAAGCTACGGCCTTCCTGTTGATTTAATGTTTCCTGTTACAAACAATTACAAAATGAAATAGATAATTAAAGCCTTATAACAGAACAATAAGCACCACTGGATATATTACTAAACTCACCCAAATCATTACAGCTAAAAAAAGTGTAAATAGTTCAGTATGTACCTGTATCAATGCTGTAGCAAGTTCTCTGGGTCATTGCTAGGGATATTCCTGTTCAGATAGGAATGGGAAAACATGGCTTCATGAAGCTGCTTAAGATACTGTGTTTCACATATGCAGAAAGAGGACCCACTAGATGCATTTGATTACAAACTGGGGTAAAACAAGATAAAAGCATTCTAATCTGGAAAATCAAACTAAAACACAGTAATCCAGCCTGATTTGCACTTGGTCCGCAAATCCTAAAACACAATATACAAGTACAATAAGCTTTTAAAAAATTCTACGTAAGTATCTGTCATCTATTGGAGATCAATTATTTTCACATTATCAAACAAGGCTATTATTTCAACATTTTGTTTATAAAGCAAGTCAATTTCCAGAAAGCTGAAAATAAAATAAACCTAAGAAACAGACCTGCCCTATGTTCAGATTTCCTCAGATACATCCTCCTCTCTTTCCATCGGGAAGTCTTCCCTAAACATAAGCTGAAGACTTTGAATACTTGCATGAGGTTTCCCACACAATTTGTTGCTCAGGTGAGAATACGAGACTGAACAACATACCATAATCCTGAGATTGTGCACTTGCAGTTCATCTAACACACTTCAGGACTTGCAATGCGGGCGCTTTCATACACATTTTTCTGGAAATCCCATGTAGAAACACAGGAATCCTGCTTAAGATTGCCTGGAGTCCTCCTCAGTACCACAAAAATCTCACTCAAGTACTCCTTCACCAAGAAAGATAAAGAGCTATCAGAGTTGCATATACTTCTCTCAATGGAGCAAACAAACACGGATTCAAAAGCCCGTGGCCTGGAATGACATCAGCTAGTTCAAGTACCTGGAGCAGAAACAAACTGATACTTGGCTGAGTTATTTCCCCCTGCCCTGCCACTTGTAGCTGTTGGAGAAACATCAACCATCTCAGTATCTACTTAAAGTTCCTGTAATTCCTTAGCCTTCAACATACACAGTGCAGACCAATTTTTGTGCTGAAAATTCTCAGAAAGGGTCATATCTCGAGAGATTAGAAAATACACGGTATTATAGGTAGGGTTTTGCAGGGGGGTGGCTCTTTTGTTTAGAAGACTTTCCATGAAGAAATAGTTAATCCTAATACCCAGTACTAAAGATATTTAGGTTTTTTTAATGGTTGATTTTTAAATCTGAATTTCATGCTGTACCTACCACCATTGTCCTCAGATTAATATCACTGAGGGTTTTCTTTTGCCAACATAGTATACTAATCAGTTGGCTTTAATAGGAATCCCAGCCTTTTACTAATTCATTCAACCAGTCTGTGAAGCTCAGCCTGAAGTTTAATTTTAGAAATTATACAGCAAATTCATAGTGGATTCTTGGTATATTAATGACATTGAACTTTAAAACTGAACATAGCACACTGCACAATACTAGACAAATTGCAGTTGTGTAGCCCTAGACTTCAGTAAGTTCTCTTGCCATTGTTATTTAAACTATTTGTATTTATCCTTCTATAAAGAATACGTAATGAAAAGGATTTAATAACATAAGAAGCAGCTGCATCTTCAAAGCTTACACAAATGTTACCAGCAGAGATCCTGTGGAATACATAATACAGATGAGACACAGCGAAGAGTGGTTATCATGTGGATGACCCTGTAGAGTTAAAAAATGCAGCAATGCATGAGTAGGAATGTATTAAATTTTATTACTGCATTATGATAAGCAGTGCTAATCTGTAGACTGAGGTTACAGATTACATAAAAGATCTTGCTGCTGAATGATTTAACATTATGGGACCAACAACAGTATTGGTTGTTATCACAGATGGAGGTTCTGGGTAACAGGATTTAGGGCTTGGGGTTTGTTTTTTTAATGTTTACATATAATCTACAACTGAAAATAAACAGTTCTGAAATTATAGTCAAATAGGAATCAGAATAGCAGGACCTTACAGGATACCCACCTTTCAGTCTTCAAAGGAAGAGTTTCCAGACAGTATGTCAGAATACACTGTATAACCAAGTACTTGGGTGCAGTAGTGGTCCAGTATTCTTGGGACTAGAAATAACTGCTGGGAAAATGTAAACTTCTGTTCTCTTGGAGTGCATCAAAACATTTATATGAATAAGAGGTCAAAGTTTCCTAGAACAATAAATACAAATGTCTTATCTAAAAAAAAACCCCACCTAAGAAGTGTGTGATTATCCCTGTGGAACACTAATAACAAAGTTCAAACACGATTCAACAGCAGGTCGGGCACAACAGACACCTAACCAACTGTGTAATAACTTTAATAACATTCTGAACAAATGCAGACACTGTATATCAGATATAAAATAAGGCTTGGTTGAACTGGATGTGGTAGTATCTACCTAATTTTATAGACCAGCTGCACTGTCAGCAGGATACACTGACTGCAGATAGAACCATAGCTCTTTTCTGTACCTCCACCCTCCCTTGCCTGGGTTATGCTTCCTGACACCTCACCAACTTCCTTGGACAGTGCATCTCAAACAACTAGCACACTGAACCTGGAAGAAAACAACATTAAATTCCTTAGAAGTTATCAGTACTGTTATCAACTGTACATCAAGCACTTACTGGTACAACACAAAAGATAGGGGGACGACGACAAAGTCATTTTAGAACATTCTCTGCATTTCAGAGCAACAAAACAATCCCAAAAGTGCACAGGTGGAAAGGGATAACACACATTATATCACTCAGCATTTGCTTTCAAAATACGCTCAATTTTTTAGAGATGTGCATAAGAATCACCTTTTACTGTTCAAATATTATGACCCCTTCCAGATTCTAGATCCTATCAACACAGGGTTTGCATGTATTGACATACATCAGTTTAGTAAATCAATTTCTTTTTACCTGCCTCAGTCTGCTTGTTCAATTCATTATGGTCAACACCAAAGGCAATGCAAGCTAATTGATTACTTCTATCATTTGTTCTTTTCACACTGTATTATAGCAGTGAGGAAAACCCTGCAGACCCTCATGGTATTTGAAATATCCAGAAATAGTATCTTGACGCCTTGCTTAATCGCATTTTGGACGTTCTGCAGACATCATCGTTCCCAGTGAATGATTTTCTTTATGGCGCGTTTTAATTTACGCCTGCTACTCCCTTAATCCAGATTCAATTTCAACGAAATAGCTATGAATACCATTAGCTAAAATACCCCATCTATGAAAACGGGCCCCAGAGGTTCTGAGCCTCACTCTCCTGTGGCTGGTGATACCACACTTAAGATCTGGCCGCACCGTGGACGCCAGCGGAGCAGCTGCACAGCTGCACCCTTCTGATGGAGGCTGCACAGCGAGCTGTGCGCAGCTTGCGCAGTACAGCATCAGTCGTCCCCCGAGACCCCCTGTCGTCTGCACCTCATAAAGATCCGGCTTCCATTTGCTTTAAAAAACAAAACAAAGCACTAGCCAATGTTTCGGGTAATAGGGAAATAGCATTCCTTGTGGAAAGGTAATCCTGTAAGCAGCTACATTATGATTCAAGGGTTCTTCTAGTACATCTTTTGGTACTCACTATCCAGTAAGACAAAACTAATTTCTATACAAGTTGTAGCCACATCAGTGTCAAAGAATAAACCTGAAAAATTAGACAAGAATTCTTAGTTTTTTACTAGGAACACTAAAAGTGGGCAGTCTACCCCTTTTCTTTACAGTACTACCCCTTATGTAAGCTTATAGTCACTTAGCAACCTAGTGGCAACTGCCTTTGTTTCAAGAATATTGATAACTAGATTATGAAACTACTGGTTCAGTAAAAATAACATCTTAAAATAAAGGACATGTCAGTCAAGTTATTCCTATTCTAGGACATTCTATGTGTACTCTGAGTCAGATTGCTTTGACAGATAAAAGCACATAGTCAAGACATAGCTTGACAAAGTTGCATGTGCATATGTATTAAGTTTCTAGAATTTATTGAATATCAATTCCATCCAATTCTTGAGATATTTGTATTATGCTCAAAATGAAACAAAATCCATCCTTTCAAAACCATTTCTATACTTCGGTAACATAATTTTGAAATCAGCCCTCAAATTGATGCATTCCTGTTATGATTTAAGAGAAATCGTCTGCTTAGGCAGCACTTCAAAGCCCAAAGAATTTGCATTTCTTTTATTCTAAATTCTATATACATACAGATGTTTGACAAACTGTGTTATTAACATGTCACACTATCACAGATAAAGCATTTTATGAAAAAGAAAAAAAATTAAGTCACCATATTACTCAATTTTTATCTGCACTCTTTTGCCAGAAATGCTGTGAGACAACTTATAACAAATACAGGAATTAGGTCTAAAGCTAATCTTAAAACACATAAGGATGGATGTGTTGAAAGAGAAATCGATTTGTATTCCTCTCTCCTGTGTTGTTCACTGAAGCCTCAACACATGGAAAATATATCCGTATGAAAAAATAGTATATTACATGATAGTATTTATGGAGAACACTGTAAAAAGAGGGGAAGAAGCTGCAAATTCTCCTTCTGTTGAGATTAATATGCAAAATAGAATGAAGCATGAACAACAGCAAAGCTAAAAAGTTCTCCTAGAGAGGAGTAATATGCTTTAACAGGTGAAAAGGAAGCCAGAGCACAACTAGCTAAAGCAGAAGTTTACAGCTGAATCCCAAACATTTAAGAGAATGCAACACAGCTGTTTCCAATGATCCATCCCCACAAATGTGTCCTAATGACCACGCATTCACAGTCAAAAATATAGATCTACAAAGCTGCTCTAATACTCATTGTTGCTTTGCTATTCTGTGCACTTCTTAATTTTCCAAATTGTTTTAAAACCAAGCTCTGTGGCCAAAAAAAACCCAAACCATTTTTCAGGAAAAATTTGTCTGACCTTCTGCTATGTGACCCCCTGTACAGAGCTGACAAGCAAGCGCTAGGACTGCTTTAATCAAATATTACGCAGATCAGCTCAATGATACCTTTTGATCTCCCAACAGACACTCGCTAACAGAGCAGAGTTCACAAAACCCAACAGAAACAGCAAACTTCCCATTTGGCTGAAGGCAAAGAGTGTAAGGAGAATAAGAAATAGGAATTCTGCACTCCAATGATTCCTCCTGAGCAGGGAACGAAGCCAAGTGATAGGATATCAAATTTTCACGGAAATGGCATAGCGGAAGCCTGGGTTTACAGCTATAGCAGAATTCTAGAAACAAAGAGGAAAGAGAAAAACAAAGCAAACCAAACCAAAATATGGTCCAACAGAGCAGATGAGGTACTGAAAATTAAACAGCTTGACTGTGAGACGGAAAAGTCAGAAGAGCTGACTGCTTAAAAAGAGCAAGAGGGTAAAAGGGGATGGGATAGTCACGTGAGGTTAAGAGACAATCAGCAACATTACTAGGTTGTGTTTGGAATGAAAGAGGCTGCCATAAGCAACAGTTGACAGAAATATGGTCCAACAGAGCAGATGAGGTACTGAAAATTAAACAGCTTGACTGTGAGACGGAAAAGTCAGAAGAGCTGACTGCTTAAAAAGAGCAAGAGGGTAAAAGGGGATGGGATAGTCACGTGAGGTTAAGAGACAATCAGCAACATTACTAGGTTGTGTTTGGAATGAAAGAGGCTGCCATAAGCAACAGTTGACAGAAGAAGAATAGCGTTATGTTTTATTTGTTTTAAAAAAAAAGGGTAGATTCTTGTGTAAAGCTGGACATCTGGAAATTGAGTTAAGCAGAAATAGCGGCAAGATGACAATGGCTTGTTACTAGTGAATATTCACATTCAGGAAGGAAGTGCGCAAAATTAAAACGAGAATTAACTTGAAGTGAAGGAACTATGTTTAGTGACAGAAATTTCTCCAGGAAGGTGTTGCAGCCTAAGAATCACAGAGACAATCAGCTGACAGAAAGCAGTTGAGATAGAAAAAGGCAATATAAATGGCCACAGAAAGAATCCAATTAAAGAAAAAGGAGCATTTTAAAAATCAAAGTAATAAACAGAAACCTTGCTAAAGTTTTCCACAAATAAGACTAAAAGAAGCTGTCCACAATAGGTTGGTTGGTTTGAAAATAGGAGCTACTTACAGAAAAAGGGCATTTCAAACAATTTTCCAGCCTTTCAAGGCATTTTAGATATGCAAAAAGGGGAAAGACATCACAAAATGAAGTTGATTCCCCTAAATCATGTAGGTTTAAAAAAAAAAAAAAGAGAAAAGAGCAAATGGAAAGAATGAATGTTTGAATGGGTCCACAGTAAGCAGAGAGGCGAGAACAGTCTTTATGAAAACCATTAAGAACGTGACCAAGACTGAGCTGAAACAGTCTGAAACCATAGGTTATGGGTAAATGCTCACAATAGGAAAAACAGAGCTGTAGAAAGTCACAAATACAAATAACTCCTATGAGATTTTCTCCACTTCATTAAATTTTGAGTCCAAAGTGATACAAAGCAATAGTATACCTCTGATTAGTCAAGGTGTGCTACCTATCTAAATGAAGGGTTAATACAATTCTTGACAATAATTCTACCGTTTAGACTGCTGCTCTGAGTAATTCTAGCAGATTGCCTGAATGACACCACTGTCTCACTACACACTTTTTTTTTAATACACTCTTTAATGAGTAAAGGTTAGACCAGATGATCTTTCAAGGTCCCTTCCAACCTGGGCTGTTCTGCCATTCTATGATTATTGTAACATAAGGACTGAAATATGACTAAACAAACAAAAAGACATTTTTGTCATATTTAAAAGGCAATTAGAGCCATTAATGAAATCTACGTTCTCTCTCATCACCTGGATCACAAAAACTCCACTACCACTGAAAGTTAATGATAAAGTGGTTTAGTCCTCACAGTATGGATTACTGATTATCATCTTGCAAAATGGCAAGATCATGCTGCAATACATCAGAGTCAAGAGAAATTTGTAGTTCTACTAGCTTGTGTAGTCGCACACATTGATTCTTTCCATTCTGCTCTTCCCCTCCTGACCCTTCCCCTGGCCAAGAAAAAAAGCTATTTGACATTAGCACAAAAATGTTTTATTAGGCTACATCAGTTTCTAGCTAGAAAACAAACAAACCTCACCTTTGGTTAAAACTGATACTTAGTGCTTTATACAATCTGCTACGAACACAGATCAATACTTCAAGAAGTTGACATATGCAAAGGCAAGCTTGCTTACTTTTTGGGGGGGGGTGGGGGGATGGGGGGGGCAAGGTAACAGGGGACAGCACGCAACAGGAAAACTTATTTTTAAAATTTAAATTTACAAAGAAAAATTAGAATTGATTTGGGAGTCCAACTGAATAAAACATGAATACTTCATGGCTTTATCATTCAACACATAGAGTGGTCTATCAATTTAGAATCTTTCAAATGCCATGGTACAAAAGCCATCACTTTCTCCAATTCCTGACAAATTTCAAAGTATCCCTCCAAGTCTTTTCCAATTTTATGTTCTCCATAGTTAAGGACAATTTTTGTTCTTTTGCTTCCCAACTACCTTTCATTACAGAATAAACACTGGGTAAGCAACCAGCATTCCCTCAGGCAGATGGTACAGCTGAAGGATGGTTTGTGTGTATTAGTATGCTAAATTTATGTGGGCTAAACTTAAGAAAGCTATTCTCAAAAGAAACTGTGATATCTGAATACAAAAATAAAACAGAACACAAATTATTCCAGAACTTTTACAAAAGTTCTCTACCTAGCTCTTGTGGTTTTCCTTTTAAGTAAATTTAACAGATTTCAGCTGCCAAAAGTCTTAACAGATAGTGTTTTAGACACTAGATATTCCCAGACATTTGAATACCCAAGACTTCTTTAGGAATGTCATTAATGCACGTGAACAAACATAATGACTGGAGGTTGAAAGCTTTTGTTTAAGCTTTTGATTTTCACCTCACTCAGTTCTCTTCCAAGGCATTGATCCAGTCACAGAAAACTGCTCTTGCCATTACTACCATGTTCCACAAAGAGTGACAAGAGGCAGAGATTTAAGAAAACTAACACAGCAGGGGCTGATATATTATCCACAAAAAACATTTACTAGTTATTTCATCCAGCAAGAAGTTTATGTTGCAGCTTCCCTTCCAGCTGAGCCTGTCCTCTGAAGACATTTCTGAGGAGACAATATGGAAGGACAACTAGATGCTTTAAGCAATTTTCCAATAGCCATCCAGATTTAGGGGATAAAATTGCTTAAGAAACTTTACTGTCTGATGCATATGTTGCACAATATTATAACTATCTCAGACCCACCCCCTAAAAATTTCACCTAAATGAAGTTTTCTTCAAAACACTAATGTTAGAGAATTTGAGCTGCAGTCCATCATTCCCTACTGCTACCGAAAGTTACTGTGCGCTGCTGAGCTCCAGTGAATGCAGTAAAAGAGCAGCTGGCAGGGTGTGCCAGA